TATTCATCTTCTTCGTTTCGTTTTTCGATCTCTACGATGGCTCAGGTTGAAGTTTCCAACGGCGCTGCGGCGGAGAAATCTCTTGTTTCCTTCTCCGCCTGCATGACTCAGCTCACCGTGGAGGCTCACAAGGTCGGCGACGCTGTTTCCTTCTACAAATCTGTGTTTGGAGCTGTCGAGTCCGGACATTCTCTCTACCCTAAGCGCAAGGCTGACCAAGAGCTCCCTCACCTTCTCTCTGCCGAGCTTCAGCTCGCTGGCTCTACCGTCCTCGTCTGCGACGTCTCCTCTGACTCTACGTAAGTTATCTCTCTCCTTCTCGTTTGAACAGAGTGGATCTTCATGTTTTCTCACTTTTTATATGCTTGAGGTGTTTGAGTTTGTTTAGATCTGGGTTTAGGGTTTTATGTTGGAGGAGCGTATGAAAGATTCTGATGCTTTACAGGACCGCGATTGCTCTGCTTTCATTTCATATAGTGTTTGTTTATATTTTGCGTGGTTGGTTTCTGGAAAACAACTCGTTTTGCTGGATTTGACTTGTGGTTTTGCGTTGGTCAGTGCGAAGACGGAAGGTAACAAGATGACAACCCTGCACCTTGTGACTGATGACGTCGAAGCTGCAGTCGCGAAAGCTGTGGACGCCGGAGCTGTGAAAGCGGGAGAGGTCTCGGAGGTTGACGGAGGAGGGAAAAGGGGAAAGGTTACGGACCCGTTCGGCGTCGCATGGATCTTCTCTTCTCCGGCGATCAAGACCACTGAGAAGGACGAAAACAAAGAGTTCTAACTGTCGTCGGATCTGGTATTTCGTCGGCTTCTGAACCAACAAAAAAAAAAACAATAATCTATTATCCTATTTTTTTTTGTCGTTTGTGGAATCCGGTAAACAGTAAATCGGATCGAGTAGCTGGATGACTTTCCTCGGTTTTAATTTTCACCTTTTTTTGGACAAATACTCAACTCTTTTGGTGAAATCAAATATTTCGGATATGAGCTTATATGCCTTTGTTGATTTTCTATTACCTACTCTGCCCTTCTGGTGGTTTGAATCATCCATTTCAACAAATTAAAATGAATCGTTAGATCATAATTTCATGTCTCTGTGTACTTTATACTTGAAAAGTAGTAGTAATAGATGTTTTGTTTGGTGTCAGTGGGTTGAATACTGTGCCGGGAGTAGTGAAACCACCACCACAAAACTTCTGGGTTTGTGTGGCTATCGCCGCCTTTTGGTGGTGCTATTTTCTGAAATTGCCCTTATGTGGGTCCGGTTAAACACAATCCTTGCATGGGTTTTGGGCCTTTGTAAACACAATTCTCAATCGGTCTCTCTTATCTTTGGGTTTACCCAAACGTCACTGGGCGGAAAATACCAACGCCTAAATAAAGGCATTCATCATTGAGTGTCTATAGTTTGCTGTGGTTTTTGTTTGGGTGCCTATTTGCATTTTTTTCGTTTTATTTCCTTTGAGGGCATGTTCCTTGTCGTATACTTTGTGATACTCTCTGTTTTATTGATATTTTAAACAAGCGTTGAAAAACAAAAGGCATCATTATTCATTACATTTTGGTCATAATTTTGATTGATGAGAACAAAAGAAATAACAACCGATTTTAAATCTGGAAACACAAAGCTTAGCAAGTTGGGACGTTGGCTAGGCCACACTTGGTGGGGAGTTCAACAGCTAGCGCGGGATCAATACCGAAAGAGCCGAGCCATGGAGAGGTCTTGTAGCCGCATAGACAGTTGAAGTCAGCATGTTGCAGAGCGTTGCAACAAAGCTGTGATGGTGCTGTTGGGCTCTCCTTGCTCACCGCTGGCTTGCACTCGTTCAACTCTGTCTCCGTCATGCCACAGAGGTCAATCCCCACCACTGACCTCTCCACTAGAATGGCTACCATCATCACCATCATAGCCATCTTCTTGCTCGCCATTTTATCCTCTTCCTTTTTTTTTTTTTTTTAATGTCTTTGTGATGTCAAAGTGAATGTCCATGCGATAAATGTATATATACCAAGTTTTGGAGAAACCCGTGAACCATATTGGAATGTTCAATCAGTCACGGGGTTGTGTTTTTTTACTTTACTTTTGGGAGGGTGTATTAGACATACATAATTACATACATATCACTTATCCATTTTACACAATCTCCAACCCACAAATCCTACTACAAATGAAACAAAGAAAATCCACACTACACGTTGACCAATGGGCCTGATTTGAGCCTAGATCGGAGTAATATTTCTCTAGTGTTTAGGTGGGGCTTTACGTCAAAGCCTCATGGCCTTGAGCAATTCTCACAACCATTTCAATCACAGTACCATAACGTGGTCATCCTGATGGGAGATATAATAGTTTATTTGACATAAAATTCCCTCAAAACTCTGAATTGACCAGAGAATGCATCTCAACTATGCAATTAACCGACTTGCAGATTTGATAAAAGCATCTCATTTATACAATTACAACTAATAACTTTTATTTAAACAAAATCATTCTTTTAGTTTTTTTCGAAATAAAATCTTCATATTTGATTTTCTCCAAACTACCGTTTTCGATGGCAATCAAT